TAATTTTATGGTGGTATGGGATTGAATAGGAGAGGCCTATGTCAAGCAGTGGACTGCGATAGGCTGATGATGATGATGGGATTGAAACTGTAAATGTAGTTCAGATAACAATGATATAATTTGCATTCTTGGAGCAAAGCAGCCTAGCAGCAAGGGGGTCGTCATCATCATCATCATCATCAGTTGTCCACGGGCTGGGCATAGGCCTCTCCTTAGAAAGAGGTTTTTGCCTACTATACCAAGCAGGATGGGTTGGGGTCAAGTTTACTTCTCTTTGCAGTGTTGTTGTCCTGCGGAGTTTGCCCTCTTGGTCGGCTTTTACTACACCCACGGGATGACTATGATGGTAACACGCCGTATTCTTAATCCGTCATTCGACAATGGAGCCACGAGTTGAATAGAAATCTTTAGTATTCACTAGTGGAAACCCCGAATTTTTTGTTCAGATGGTTAATGTTTAGGTACAAGTCCAAAGTTTTGGTTTTATAACTATGATGACTGATGATGTGGCAGAGATGTATCTTCTTTACTTTTATAAGAGATTTGATAGAATAACGTGTTATTTTTGTAGTTTTTCTGAACAATCTATATTAATCCTGGTAATAAAGCTTTAGAAAATACGTAGGAGGGTTACGTCATTCACTTACCGGCAGGTGGCCTGTCTCCTCGATTCTCTCCTATCCTAGCATCATCATCATCATCATCAGCCCTCCCCCTATACTATAAAACATCTTAAAAGTTAATACATCTTTAAGTTATCTTTACAGTTTATTAGCATAATAAAAGTGATAGTGATCTGATGGTTTTGTACTAGTTCAACCTTTCACCCCGAGTCAATACATAAATATTTACACGCTCTTAAGATAAATGTTTATGTACTTTGATAACGTATTTGTATATGTACTTAAAGACTGCGTTACGTATAATAAATTATGAAACTATTTTAAAAATACAATAAAACCCCAAATCATATAAATAGAAATACAAACAAATACCTAACTTCTGGCCTGTATTTAAACGAACATTATCATAAATTACATAAAAACATTATCATAGGTAAGATTTTAAGCCGACCATAAGTCCATAAGGAAAACGGCCCGTATGTATAGCACGTCACTAACAAACCCTTCTCCCCTTCCCCTTCTTCCCTTAGCCAGTACAGTCCCATTCAATTCACAGAAAGTAAGGTTATCAGAGTGCAACACTATCTTTTACTACGAAACGTTGTGTGCGTTATTGTATCAATATTTATTTAATTAAACTAATATAGTAGAGATCCATCCAATCAATGAACACTCAGGAAATAAGTCCCGCGTATATTTCTAGGAATTTATTCTGTCGGCGTGGACTTAAGATTGGGTTCTTAATTAATTACGCAACTTGTTAATTTAAATATAAACTTGTAAATATATATTTGTACGATAATGGTGTTTGTCTGCCGATTCGTAGATTTTAAAATTAAGTAAGGCCAGTATAAATCGAACTCATTTTCTATGATAATGTGAAAAGTAAATTAAAATTATTAGAACCTGTTCTAAAATGGCAAGTTTAGATGGGGGTGGTTACAACTTACAATGCTGTTCAGAATCTTTGGTCGTTAGTGATTGGAAAAAATATATCTGAGGTAAATACCATTTTTAAAACTTCAAAAGGAGGAGATTATTAATTCAGATGCTTTTATTTTTTTATGTATATTCAGGCATAACTCCGTCATATACATGGATATTCAAAATATTTCACATCACATCAACAGCCTTTGAATAGTCCACTGCTGGACATAGTCCTCTCCTTAGAAAGGAGGTTTTGGCCTACTATACCACGCTGGCCAGACGGGTTGGTATAGGGTTTGTGTCTAGTTTTCCTTCTCTTTGCAGTACTGGTTGTCCTACGTTAGCTCCCTTAGTCGCCTCTTACGACACCCTCGGGATGAATAGGGGTGGTGACACTCCGTAATCTTAATCCGTCACCACACGGATGACGTGATGAAAATGAAAATATTTAAAAACATAATATTTTGATGACGCTCGGCATAGACGTATAATGAAAAACATAATTAAAGTATTTTGGATGTCAACCTACTCTATATAAATACTTAATTTTTATTATTAACCGTAAGTCAAGACTCTCAAGACGTCTTGCTACATTAAATCATATTCATATGATGAAATGATTGCTTTTAGTCACTGTGATTAAAATCAATAAAGATAAATGTAATTAAAATCAACATTTTTTTTAGATTTAGGCCTTAGGATTTACCTTTCGGTAAGTCGGGAGTAGCGCTAGCGTAATCATCATCATCAGCTTATCGCAGTTCACTGCTGGACATAGGCCTCTCCCATTGAGTAATACCTAATAATAATAATAAGTAGAAGTGGTTTTGTCAACTAATAATATGTGTAAATATATAATATATAAATGATGATGATATTATGAGATGATATATATGAATGATTTATCGTAGGTGATGGTAATATGGATTATAACCTAACCCTTGAATGTCTATGTATTATAACATACATATGTTATAATACTTGAAGAAAATGTTTTGTTTTTTGTAACTCTTGTCTTGTTCATTGATCCTGGCTACCTGAACAAGAGGGCGTCGGTCAGTCGGGATCGGGTTTGATTTCCATCCACTACAAATAATTAATGTCATAAGTATTTGTTGTTTGTCTAAGTGTAATTTATATATAGTGTAAAATAAATATGTACATCAGCAGTGTGGTTAGCTATATAGTACAGAACCTGCCCAATTTTCGGGATCGAACGGCCATGTGTGGGGTGTCTCATCTTGAGAAACCTCACACATTACAATTACATTACAGGAGGATTTCAAGTATTGTTGAACACGGAAAAAGTGTCAGCGGTTACTAGTAGCCAGTTTTAAGTTTTAGGAATCATGGATTTATTAAATTAAGATATAAATATATGTATGTAGTAATAGACAGATAGATAGATGGATTCCGTTTGGTGCAGTGTTTGTAGAAACCACAGAAACTACTTGTGGTGATCACTTCACACCTCGTTTTCAATTTTATACTCAACCTCATATGTTATTTGTTTCTCATGTATCAATATATTTTATCTCCTGTTTAAACAAAAGAAGAACACGAAAAAAGCTGGAATGAAGTAAAATCGCTACTTTTCATTTTGAGAAGCAGTTTGCCATATAACGTTTTACTTTAATTTTTACTTTTTAAAATATTAAGGTTACAGAAGGTTTATTCTTTTTAAGTCTAGAAAAAAAAGCTCAACTGAGTGGTTGTCTATGGGGTATTTCACTCAGGGATTCAACCCTCAGCGTTGCGAAAAGTATTCGTCACATCGCTTCCCAAGATCTTAAATCCTACACTCCTTAATCACATTCGCCCTATCTCCATTCTCGCCTTCCTATCTAAAGTCCTCGAGGCCTGTGTGAACCAACAACTATCTCAACATATTTATCGAAATAACCTACTAACCCCTTTCCAATCGGGGTTCAGGCCAGGGCATAACACAACTTCTGCTTTGCTAAAAGTGACTTCTGACATCCGAGCAGAAATTTAGTAATCCAAAGTAACAGTGTTGGCTTTGGTTGACTTCTGAAATACGTTCAACTCCGTCAGTCACGATATCCTTCTGTCTATCCTGTCCTATCCCATGATTACGACTGATACACTGGACTGGTTCTCGTCTTATCTTCAGGGCCGTCAACAGTCTGTCCACGTCGATGCGCTATTATTCATTCGAATATCTGTGTTCCAACGACGACAGAACCCTCGATGAAAGTTCGAGCTTGCATTCTGGACACCCTAGCAGATTCTTTATATAGTTTTATATTTTATTAAAATGTAGGTTTATGTATGTACTCGTATGTAACTAGGTAAGTATTTATGATATGTATGTATTTGGTAAGTTTGTATGTCTTTATTTATCTCAGTGTTTCTGTCTAACTTTTTAATAATCTCTAGCGCACCACCCTAAGGTAGACTGGGAGAAAATGACTGTGGCATTAAGTCCGCCATTGTACAACCCACATTTGTGCATAAAGTATAAAAAAAAAGTTTTAGAAAGTGTGAGATTCGGACATCAATCACAAATACTAAGAACTGGAGTGACTGAGTGAAACTATGATAAGCAGTTATGGTCGCGGCTTCTGAATAACTAACTTGAAAAAAATATTTTAGATTTTAAATTTGGACATATTCTTGTGCCAAAGATGATCGTCGGCATTATTATTGAAACCAATTGTTTGTCGCTATTAATAGAACTGCAATAATTGCGAGGGTTAAAGGGCAACTTGAGGACCGGCCGGGCGTGCTCCGCCCGAAACGTGTCACGTGACGCACCCGCCATGTCGGAATTTATGGCGCGAAGTGAAATGTCAAAATATTTGATAAGCAATTATTCACTCAGCCAATTATGTATGCGTTTCAATTTAATAATCTTCAGACCGCGGCTAATGGGACCGTGTATGAGACTATATAGAATTCATTTAGCTTTATATAGTATTAATAAAAAGTATGGAGAAAAGTATGGGGTAGGACTGACCCTTCTTAGAAAATTAAACAGTAAGATTACTTAATAATTTCTTAGTAAAACTCTAAAGGCTTAAAAGGCTAAAAGGCTTTTTTGTTGCTCCCGAAATAAACTTCAATAATGATACTGTTTATAGCCTTAGTTTTATGTTTGGTCTCACTTAAAAACACATTAAAAACTATTTGCTAAATAAAAAAAGCGATAAAAATAAAACTTTAAATTTAAAAAAAAAAAACAAAATTAAAGCAAAAGAATACGAAATAATTTGAATTTAGGCATGCTATGCCTAAATTAATTAGCCTGTTTAATTTACATTTTCATAGTTCATTGTTAAATTGCGATTTAACTTTGACGACAATACAGATAAAAAAGTCGCTATTACATACTTAAGTTTGTTTAATTTGTAATTTTATTATAGTACCTACTTAACGTTTTTTGAGGTGATAAACATTTTGATAAAATGTATCATTTTCGTATTTCAGCGTTAAGATGTCCGCCGGGTGTGTTGGACTCTTCATGTATGGAAGAAAAGAAAGAATTGGAAACACCAGGTATGTATTTTCTGAATATAATAATAATATCACACACGACCGTCTGAACTCAAACTAGGAAGAGTCTATACTATGGTAACCAGACTGATGAGAAACATACCTACTTATATTTTTAAATACGTACATATTAAGATAAATAACATCTAGACACAGAACAAACCCAATTATTTGTAATGGGTGGGAATCGAAAGTAAGGCTTCTGGCTTATCTTCTTCTTCTTCGGCTTCCGGCAATCAGGATCACAACCATTAGACCAACAGTTCGCATACTTTGCAAAAGATTTTTGCTGTATTTTAGGCAAAATCATTTTTATTTAACCTAGAAGGGTCAGAAGGTGTGTCCTGGTAATTGAATAGCAAAGTATTTATATAGTGATATTTACAAATACCTACATATTTTTGCCACTAAAAAAACGTTTTTACCTCCAGAAACATCAGGCAGTGGTACGGCAGAAGCCCAATGTTTAGTTGGCACGGAATGGGAGAGTAACTGTCATTATTGCCGATGCTCAAACACTGGAGTGGCCGAGTGCCTTAAAATGGATACCTGTGACAAAGGGCTTTATGGTAAGTGTGAAATAAAAACTCTGCTACAGACTTGTATCTTTTTTGTGGTAGGTATAGGAAACAATAGCGTGGTGTCGTTTCGGAGAGCACCTGAAATTACATGGTCCGGGTCCTCCCAGAGTAGGACGCCCAAGGCCAGCCGTCGGATGGTTTTTAATAGAATCACCACATTCTCCTGGCTCCTGAGTCACCAAGGAGCAGGAAATCCGTAGGGATTTTCCACCCCGTCAATAAAAAAAACAGTGGCACTCCGGAAGTGCCGACAGAAATGAAAACTTGAGAAATTTCGATTCGAAAGATGTATTTACACCGGTTTTCTGTGAGGCTGTTGAATCGCTTCAGTCAAGTGTCGCGGCAATGGCCACGTGCTGCTTAAGAGCCACAAGTTACCGGCAGCTGCTCTAATAAGGATTGAGCACCACACACAAATTCTCCATTTCATATTTAACAACATTCAACAATAGAGCAAAGTTTTTAAGACGCCTGTAAACTGTCTAACATTACTAGTTACAGACGATCTAAATAACACTTTCTCCAAGGTCGTGAACTGGTTCAACGATAATAACTCACTTTTAAACGAGAAAAAAAATGTATTAGATTTTTTTACACCTAATGTTAAGCAGGTAAACACCAGTGTTCTGATAAATGAAAAGGAGTTGGATCTTGTGGTGAACACGACTAAGTTTTTGGGTATAACTCTAGACTCTTAATTGCAGTGGGGCCCACACATTCACGGATTGTCAAATAGACTCACCACTGCAGCAAACGCGGTTTATAAAATTTGTCAATTAACTGATATAGAAACAGCTAGACTGGTGTATTTTAGCTAATTTCATAGTGTAATGTCATACGGTATTTTATTGTGGGAAAATGCTGCTGAAATTTAAAGCATGCAAAAGAGAGCTATTCGCGCAATTTATAATCTCAGTTATAGGCAGTCACTGAGGGATAAGTTTAAAGAAATTGGTATTATGACAGGCGGATCTCAATATATATATGAAAATTTAGTGTATGTTAAGAAAAATATACATTTATTCACAAAGCTTAGCGACATTCATAATATAAACACTAAAAATAGAAATAAACTCGTGTTGCCAACGACTAGACCACAAAAAGTAAGGAAGTCTTTCTTTAATAAAAAATAAGAAAACTAAAACTATTGTCCTTTCCACGGACCCTATACTGCACTCACATTGTTCTCTTTAACATTGTACACGGACTTGAAAAAAAAGACACCTCTGTCGTTTGCTTCGGCGTTTCTTCCCAGAGTGAGTTTGAGGAAATGCCGGCGCCTTCTAACTGTAAAGTCCGACTTGTAAAATATCTGAAAAGGTTTACTTCCAGAAATAAATATAATTTCATCATTTCATTTCACTCCAATCTGGTTACAGCTGAGCCAGCGCTCTGCAAGCCGAATACAACGTTCCAACGAGACTGCAACACCTGTGTGTGTTTAGACAATGGCCTAGGACTATGCACCCTCGAACACTGTAGAAGTTCTAGTGAGTGTTTGAACTGCTTTTTATAATAATAGAATCACCCCTTAGCCGGTTCCTGTGCCCTCCCAAATTAGAGATATGTGTCGCCGGTAACCAGGGGCATGCGATGTTTTGACCCAGTCTTTTGTAGAGTGTAAGCCATTTCCCAGCTAGTGATTTTTAGAGGCGCTGTTTACTTATCTAGGTTTTCACTTGAGAAAAGAACATAACATAATTTATAATATCTTATTACAAAAACAGAAAATAAAAAATTATGACCTTAACGTAAAACGGTGTAAAGAAAACAACTGATTTAACTTCCTCATACTCCGTTTACTGGTGTTATAATACATATTATTATAGTAATTATATATTCTAATGTATTACAATAATCTTTTTTAGACAACATCAAAGATAACCTTGAACTATCAGAAGAAAGTGAAAAGGAAGCAGCAACAAAATCGGAAACACATGTACTCGTAATACCGGTAAGAAATGTTTATTATATAAGCAAAGGAAGCACTGCTTACTTATTTTGTAAACTCAAAAAAAAAATGTGAGTTTAAAAACAATGCACAATTTTGAGTGTTTTTTAGTGTTAATATTTTTTTTTTATTTGCGAGTATGTTAAATCTACTAATTAAAAAAAGAAACTGAAATCGGTGTCGGTTGCAATTTTTTTTACATTTTCATCAAATTTCTTAAGAGTGCACTACAAGGTGTTTTATTAATAACTAAGAGACAAAAAAAACATTTTCTCACCTGACGAACATGGACCCTTTTATCGATTTCAAATACTTCAATCGATTTTAGTGATAAACCAATATTTTAACTGCACTTAATATGGTGAATGAAGTACAAAGTCAAGGTAAGTTACTACTTATTACATTTTATTTTTGTTTGCTGAATTAATAAAATCACATACACTATTTACGCACAGACTTTCACTTTTCATCTTGTATTCAATGATACATTGTAAACTATCTTGGGAATATTTTAAAGGTGATTGGTGAAAAGCAAACTAAATATTTCTAAAATTTTGATATCAGTTTTAAAAATTATTTACATTCAAAACATTTATAAAAAATCAATTCTTTTAATGACTTGCAGAAAATATAAGCTTTAATTACATTATAAAGCTGTAGGTTGGGATAGAACAGAATTTTTGAATGTTGATTACTTTTGTTTAACTGTAATTTGTATGAGACCAAAAGCATTTTAGTGAAATCTGTTAATAATGATAGCATCACAATAATTATGTATATATTGATGACTCTTGTAAAATAAATATATGTTAACACGGAATATTTACATACCAGATGCAAAATTATGGCAACGAGGAAAAATTTCTAGTAATTAACCATGGCATTGGCATGTTAAAACTTTCAACGATTTGCAAACCGGGCGGGGAATTCATGAGAGACTGCAACCCTTGTGAATGTGCTGCTGATGGATTAAGCTACTCCTGCACAAGGATCGAATGCCTCGAAGTCGATATGAATAAGGAAGTCGAAGTATTTATGGCCAATAAGGTATGTTTCTGCAATAATATTTATTTTTGTCTTTATCGAAGTACACTTTCTAACTATAATACTCGATTCTCAATGACGTTGTTACTTCATTTACTTCAAAGTATTGTTTCGCAAAATTCGTGAGATTTTAGATTTAACAGGAATTATTGTATTAGAATTTTAATATTAATTAAAAAAAAACGGTTTTACTCACGTATGTACAACTATACCTACCGCCCATTCATTCCCAACATTATTACAAGATAGTTATGTTTCCTGTTGAAGGAGTTAAAGAAATTCAATCTCTGATCATTATTATTTATGTCATGTGTCAAGTACTATAACAAATTGCTTTCGTATTTGACTTAAAATTCTGCCATCAACTTTCGGCATATTAAAATATGACTGTGATTTTAAGGGAGTGGATCATATAGAGCGTCAGTCGGTCTGTCGCGCTCGGGAAACTTTCAAGACCGGTTGTAACATATGCCGTTGCAATGCTCTCGGGACTAACTACTCTTGCGCCAACAAGCCGTGTCCTTTACCACCTGATGTCGAAGTCTTCAATGGGTTTGAAGTATGTATGTTTATTTTTAATTCTTATTTTATGTTGAGTAGGGCTGTTGATGTCCCAGTCCTATTGGCCTTTTCAATCACATGATGGAGTACGAGTATGTCCATCATATGATTGAAAGGTGTGTACCCGTATGGGTACGCGACCTGGGCTCTTCGAGCTATTTCAGTCTCAATTCCGTTTTCCCATCCCCGACTTGCATGGTATATTCTTTATCTTAAATCTATCTTGTCTTAGCTCACACGCTCTACCCGTTTTTTTTACCAATTTATCTTCTTTCTTAATCTAGCCTGAAAACGATTTATTTCCAATGAGTGTGGGTGTCAGTTACACGGCCGGCCATAAAATGGCCAGTTAAAAGCCTTTCCAAAGATATGTAAAAGAAACTAGCCGAATTTTTTCATTGAGCCGATCCTGAATAAAATTGAAATAAGGTTAGGGCAATAATGATAACGATGATGATTTCATAATTAGAATAGGCTCTTGTCAAGATGGACGGTTGTGCCGACCCAATACGAATTCAGAATATATATTTAGAAATATACGTGCGGTGACTGATTAAGAATACGGAGTGTCACTACCTCTATTCATCTCGTAGGTGTCATAAGAGCCGACTAAGGGACCAAACTGCGCAGGACAACTGCACTACAAAGAGAAGGAAAACTCGATACAAACCCTATACCAACTCATCTGGCCAGCGTGGAATAGTAGGCCCTCCTTTCTAAGCTCATGTCCAGCCAGTGAACTATTAAAGGCTGTTGATGATGATGATGATGATGCAGTCTTATCACTATAGTTCAGGCTCTGTCAAGATATTATTCTTATTGTTAAAAGCAGATATCAAACATCATGTTCTATATAAACTTAGCGTTTGGTTATGCTATTTGGTATATAACATAGTACATAATACAAATGACGCGAATCCCATAAAAATGTTTATATTTTCTTCATTTTTGATGTTTCTTTTCTTTCAGGGTGTAAAGCCAGCTACGCCTTATACTGGTGATGATAGTTTGGAGGTGCTGAAGGCGTAAACTTAAAATAAACATCATCTTCGGACAGCATCTTATATTGATCAAGAAATTTGTGACTTTACTGTGCAATAAAAATATAAATTTAATAGAAAATTAAGTTTTTACAGGATTGTACTTTATACATTATTTCTATTAGTCGTATAAGAAGAAAGCTATATAAAATAAATATAAATTTTGAATAATCTAATTTTGTTAAAAAAAAAGCATTTACAAGAAAAAAAAAACAAGTTACTAATATTTAAGTAATGTTTTTTAGACTTGAAAATGGTCATGAGAATGATTTAATAAATGTTTTACTCTTTTAATTACTTTTTTAATAAATTAAATGTAAATGAATAACACCGCAAAATAAAAATAATAGTAGTGAGAGAGAAAACGTCATCGAGTTGACTAACAATCAATAGCAGCATCAGGATTGATGCTTTTTAAACATTACAAAAGAAAATAAACGATACCTAATACGAGTACATTGCGATCCATTAACTTTCAAGAATATATTTTTAAACACAAATGAAGGGCTCGTTCATTCGAATCAATTTGAATAGATTCCATCAACGTTAGCATCAACGCCTTAGTTTTCTATTGAATAATGGAAATAGGTTTCTCCTGATGGAAATTGACAATGAAGACCAAGATGGTACATACCTGTCTAAGAGACGGAACTTAAGGGTATTTTCGCTCAAGTAAAGATGCCCCAAAGCTGCGAGTTGATATTTAGCTGAGCTATCCTAAATATGACTGCAGTATCGAACAATCGAATTTATGCTGTGCTCAAAATATTTTAATAAACTCAAACTTGAAATGTGTTTATTTCATAACATTTAAAAATAATAATTGAAATCGTTTTTAATGTGGACTCAAAGTCATAGATTCACACAACACACAATAGCAAAAATCTCTGTTTTGACAAATATTTAGTAAAATAAATATGATAAAATTATACCTATCGAAAATCTGTGCCGATCTACAAACAAAATGGTTTTGACATGCATAATAAGTATTTATTATCTTCTATTATATTTAGGCTAGACTTAGGCTTGCCATCTATTCACTGTTCACCATATAGAAATTTGTTTTTTATTACATAGACAACAAGATCATTGAACAATGCAACGAAATCTCAAGTATGTGTTGCAAACCGTATGTTTGTGAAAGATTGCAATACTTGCTGGTGCAATGAAGACGGTACCAGCTACGTGTGTACCAGGAGAACTTGCGTGCCTCTTCTACCTGGTGAGGAGTCGGACCTGGGAGGGATCCCTGCAGAGGTTCGTTTTAGTTACGAGGCATGAATATTTAATCAAGTAATTATATATATATTTTCTGCTTTGCAATTGAATTTATTTCCTAGTTTGCGACGTAATTTTGATTTGTATAGGTAGTGTTTATTTAACTGTATTAAATTATGTCCCAAAAAATGTACTATTGAATATTAAAAAAAAAAAAGATTTTCTTGTGATAATTATGTATATAATAGATAAAATGTAATTTTAAATTTAGGAATTGCGTGTGACCAAACAGGCATGTCGTCCGGATGAAGTCTTTGAGTTAGATTGCAATATGTGTCGTTGCAATTCTGATGGGAAATCATATTCTTGCACCAGGAGAGCGTGCGCGGAACCTGATGATGATAAGGTCTGAATGTTATTTTTAATTTTTTGATAGTTCAAGTTTAGTAACCACATAAGGAAAATAAACGAAACCTACGGAAATCCTCGAACTGAAGATATGTGTTGGTTCATTCCCAATGATTTTAAACTTAATCAAAAGAAACACTTTTCTACGAAAAGATCACGATGTATACTCTAATGGTTCCTATTATAAATATTCGATAACTTGTTTCTGTCGTGTCTATGGCTGTATATTATTTTTCGATAAGTTTTGTATTGTTATATGATTATGGTTCGTGGTATGGTGCATTTAATCTGGTTTTTCATCTTTCCCGGGTTTGGATTTTGGTGGTGGTACTATAATAAAAAATCTTACACGTTTCCTTTGTTTTATTTCATGAATCATTTCTAAATCTCTTTTTAGTGTACCTGTTTATTCTTTATAATTTGTATATATTAGATATTTATTTAATAATAATGTCCATACTGATATTACTAATGCAACATTTCTCTAACATACCAAGTGCTAAACCGCTGCTCTATTTTTTATACTGTTAGAAGTGACGAGATCAGCCTAAAACTTATAAAGTAAATCCTTTAAGAAAAAACATTGTTTAATAATTTATTTAACCATTGAATCTAAAGGCGTTTTCCTATGGTACAATTTTTGTATTAAAACCTCTTTCTTAAAGCACTTTATACAATACTAACTAATTCATGTTATTGTGGACACTATTTGCGTGATACTTATGTCTTTAATTATTTATATATTTCAGAAAGTCAACTTATCCAGAAAAATCCGGTCGTTTACTACGGTAATATTTTTGTATTTATATCTCTTTGGTTTATATTATGTTAATGTTACAACAACAATCTGAAAAAAAAAAAACAAGATATCCTAGTTAATTTGAGCCACATTTTAAAATCTATGTGCAGTAAAGCACATTTTAACTGTTTAAAGTAACAAATAAGAACTGGCTACATGTATCTAGTAGGAGATGCCGAAGACCTGCCAACCGGGACAAGAGTTCCGCATGGACTGCAATAAGTGCTTGTGCGACAGCAAAGGCCAGGATTTCTCCTGCACCAGAAATGATTGCAACGCCCCGAACAACAACCACGGCGTTAGAAGGAAAAGAGGTGAGTATAATTTTACGTCTTAAAACCTTTTTGGCCCTAGGAAGTAAGCTGGGTGACTAAATCAAGTGTTTATTAGAAAACTGAATGAGTAACAAATTACTCGAACACGCATTTATTTAATTTTATAGAAATCTGTTTCTGATAAGTTCAGTGAAAATAAAGTAATACTATGTGTGCCGAAATCTTGGCAAGTTAGATAATGATGGAGATTACACAATGCATCAACCTAGAAATTCAGCACTTGTTTGACGGAACTAGGAGTAGGTGAAGTGCTCTCCTTTTCCGTTATCATCAGCAGTGGTCCCAAAAATCAAGGAGGGACAAAGCATGGTAGAAGTTTGAAAGAGAGTTATTAGGTGGCTCGGTTTAGCCGAAGGCTATGTTTTACTTCGTCGATGATGTTGTGTCTTTTGTAGAAGTTTTCCCGATTATTTTTTCAGATGTTCCAGTCTCCAGAGTCTCCGAGCCCATAGAGATGAAGTGTGTGGCGGGTAGCGTGTTTGATCGCGATTGCAACGTATGCAGGTGCACAGATGATGGTAATCACGCAACCTGCACCATCAAACGTTGCGAGAAAGACAATGAACTTGACGGTGGAGTCCATCCAACGGGTGGGTAAGACTACCTCAAATTAATAAAACTCATAATTTGAATTAAGTTAAATATTCAAACTAATGATAAGAGGAGGTGAACAAGGACATCGATGACAGACAATTCTACTAGCTAGCTAGAAGTAGCCTTGGTCAATAGAACGCTGTTAAGCAGTGCAACTTCTAACTCTCGCTAGATATACAAGCTGTATAGCAGAGGGATTTTCACGTACCAAGTGCAATCTCTTATTAACAAACATATAACCACATTATATGTACGACCGATGCGCTACATTATCATTTTGCTTCGATTTTTCAATCGATTGTGTTGTATGGAGTATATAGAACTATGTGGTTTGGAAACGCGAGTACCTATGTATTGGTATTTCAATGTATAACAGTATTCATTATAAATTTATAATTGTATCTCTTTTAGATCCCCTAATAAAATTTAAACTTAGGTGAAGCTTACGATAAAATTTGATGACATTGTTATTCTTTTAGTGGTTCTGGGAATGAAACTGGATTGAGAACTGTGTTGTCCTTCATTGTCTGAATTTTTAGAAGAATTTGGATCGTTGTGTATATTGATAGTAAATTCCTTTTTTTTTTGTCAGACTCGGATCCAGGCTTCCGTTGCAATCCTGGAGAACAATTTAAACGCGAATGCAACGACTGCACGTGCTCGGCGGACGGAAAGAGCGTATTCTGTACACTCCGCCTTTGTGATGAGGACATGGCCTCCGGCATTTAAACCAACAACTGGATGAAACAAGACCTATCGCAAAAAATAGGTGGGTTCGAAAATTCAAAAAGGTTTTATATAAACTGTCGTCTTAATACATATTACAAAAATCCATTTGTCTTTGTTTAATTTGAATCCATAATTTTATTGTACTATTTGACATACATATTAATTTTTGTATTTCTTTATATTAATATTATAAATACTCAACAAGAATTAAGCAGTGTAATAAAACTATGTTAACAAAAAAAAAACCAGGTGTTCAATCTCGTTTGCTCTCTAATCCAGTCTGTGAATAATATGTACGTAGGTACGTGTAAAAATATGTACTCAATCAATGGATTTCATAATATAATCTGTAAATCTGTATAGGCTATACATATTTTTCATGTGTGTAATCTATGTGTACTGCATATTATAAACTGCATAAAAAAGTGTTACTTATTGATAATGTGTTTTTAAGCCTTGTCCTCTGCGTATCGTGTCGAGATTTTAAATTTTTTCTTCACACATGTAGTTGAGCGATTGGTCAACTAATTCTGTTAAGTCGATTAGTTGGTTCGAAAATGGTTGCGTGTATTAGTATCATTTCGATGTTTTGTGTTTATTCTTATAAGTATTTTGTGACTAATTTTTACTTAGTACATAGTTTGAATGAAGTAGTGGTTACGATATTTCATATTGTACAATAGTTAAATTAAATTGCGGCTGGCTGCAGAATAGAGCTCGGTTAACTTTGCAAGTTTTATTATTCGGTTAATGAAGATTCCAGTATTTAATCTTATTTTTGGTTCTGAGTACAATGTCTTGTCTTTATTACGAATTGGTTATATTTTGGGCACTATATTTTTTGAGCCCAATGATGTTATAAAATATTTTTTTTGTGAAGTCGAGCGCTCTAGTGGCATTTCATTGCCGAGAACTATAAAAGTTTTCCGTACATTATGGCTTATTAGTTTGTAATTGTAATGAGTGAATGAATGTTACTCGTGCTTTCATCGCCATTCACTGTTTAGTTATTAGCATGTTAACATGCTAGGTTATTATTCATGTCATTTTCATTCCCGTAGTGTTAGTATTGTGTGGGCTAAAATGTAATCAGGCTATTTTTGACTGTCCCAAAACCCTCATTTATCGCTTAATGGAGGTGATCATTACTAATACTGTGTCTGTATTGAGTCGAAGATAATATTTTTTTAATAGTTGTTTTCGTTGGATACCATAAGTTTGTTTACCGATATTTAGTCGATAATCGATTACTCGATGATTTATTCTTAATTTAATTTCCTTTTAGTATTGGCCTGGTTACATTCAAGCTTTTGTTTAGTATCGATCTGCGGTTAGTAGTTAGTTAGTCGCTTAATTTAGAGGTTACATACCATCATGTATTAGACGATACGTAATTAAAGCCTAAGTAATTTGAATTAAAAATAATAATAAACGAATAAAGGAGTTTATTTTATACATTGTTTTATTTAAAAGGACCCTTAGAAAATGTAGGTTTTTGATTACCTCTACCGAAAACGATGCTATAATATATTAACTTATTGATCAACCAATTTCAAGCATACTTGTACATATATAGTAGACCAAACTATATTTAGCTGACGTTAAGATGACATAAAATTGAGGTAATATAGTGATGTAAAGTTGATTTCAAAATTCTTACAATACTGTCATTCTATATGACGTAACTGTCATACCAAAGTCATGAATAAAGTCATTTTTATGTCATATCTATCTTAAAATTCTGTTACTCTATGACGTTATATGATGGTCATGTGCTCACTGGGCAAGAATTAATTTTTTACAAGCTTTTCAGTAATTTCTTGACTGTTGTTAAAAGAAATGTTACTTAAGTTGTTGAATTATTTGGGTGGTCGTGATGATAATGTGGCTTAGAGCATTTACCGCAATTGTTTCCTTAATTGTGTTTTTACCTCAAAGTACCCACTTTTTCAAGTATTTGAAAATTTATTAAAAAAAAAGATTCTGTCTTTTTTTAATTAGAAGTAAAATAAAATGCAGCCTTTACTAATATAAATAACATGATTCAACTTCATTATTCTGCAACATTCTGGCGATCCCATTTTAGATATGAAAAATGTACATACATTGTTTTGCCTAATTCAATTACTATTCTTACATTGAAAGTTAATTGAGTTGGCTATTGAATAATGACTCATAGGTAGGTAGTAAATAAAAAAAAGTGTAAAATTCGCATCGACAAATTGCGCAAAAAATAATCAATCAAGCTATATGACGGTCACAAAGTAATTTATTTTAAAACATAACTGATCATTAGTATGGTGCTAGACTTATAAGAGGTGCGTCCTACAATGTTGCTGATAAGAGCTGTTACTGTTATTTTAACTTTTTTATTTATTGTTAATTCTGTAAGAAGTTTGTGTGAGTATGTATTTTATATGTTTTTAGGTAACATTCATAAATTGTGTTGTTTTGTAAATGTATGGGTAAAAACCAACAAACTCTCTTTTTCTATGCAGTTAAACTATAAAGTTTTAGCTTTAGCAATTAGTATGTTTGAATAAAAATAGTCACTCTCTATCACTATCCCTTTAATCCCTTTTTTCCTTTCTTATCTTTAGGTTGCCTGTAAGATATTGTTTTTAGCGATATTACCGCCATTTGTACATGGTCATTAACTTGGAATACTATTGTATGTATAATATCCTGAATTGGTGTACAATAAAGATTATTCTATTCTATTCTATTCTATTCTAATCCCTTTTGTCTTGTTGTAAAGTTGTTTCGAAATAATATTTATTCAGCAAACTTGATAAAAATGACTAATTTGTAACTAAGGTGTCGAACTTGTGATGAAATGGTTGCGGGTTTAAATCTCGCCTACACACCATTGATATGAAGTCATGCCTTTTCACGTGTGGATGTAGACGTGGCGGCTCGAATTGTCTTCTACACCTGGGTTTTTGGTAAAATGTAAGGAATCTGGGAATGGCTCTCTTAGGTGGCAACCTTCGAGAGCCATTCCCAGATTGCTTAAATTTTACCACCAGGCGCCTGTCTACTACCTCTAGGTAATACTCGTAATTAGACGAGGCCCAGAAACAGAGCAGTCATAATAACCACTTCGAATTAAAAAAAAAACAAAATGGTAAAAAAATTACTACAAATTTCCAATTAAATGTTTTATTTTGTTATGTGTTATGTTGAATAATTTTATAATTATTCTAGGTCGTTAGTTCGTCTTGCATAGTATATATAGTCCTATATTATTAGTAATTTGTATATAAAGTGTAAAATTAATCCTGTTTTTGGCCATCCCTGCTGCTGAAAATACTTTTCTATGATGTTTAGTTTATAGTCTTTTCTTTTGACGTGGTTCTTGATCAGTTTATCTATGTATGAAACTAGATACACTAGAACGACCTATCCGCCCAATGGCAGATACTCCGTTTGTCTGACAGGGTTTGTTGAATTTGAGCTCCGTAAGTCCTTTTTGGGCTTCTCTTTTTATGGATTTTTTGACCATTGTATAAAAACAAACTAGGTGTATATAAATCTACTTATTGGACTTTTTTGGTTTGTTTTTTATAAAGAAAAATTTGCTTGAATTTTTGCAGCAATTGAACTTCAAGAAATTCGTGATGGAGAGACCTGCGTGGAAGGCAAAGTGTATAGACATAAATGTAATACCTGCAAGTGCAAAAAACACTCGCTTATGTGTACCAAAATGGCCTGCTTCGATTTCAGCATTCCAGACATATTAAGACAACAAAGCAAAGAAAGAAAATGATAAGAATATTTATGGCCACATTCTTCTTTAATTCGCTGCGGTGTCCATAACCTTTGGCGAAGTTTTTTTCTGTTTGGATAACGTGGCGGAGCAATCGTAACGCACACATGATTTTATATGGTTATATTTTATTAGTCTTATAATTTCGCGAAGTCTTTCCGCCCTCCTGTGGTTTAACTTAGAGACTGTTAGTCTAGACACCTGTAACTTTGCGTCTCCAATATAATGTAAATATAAACAATCTGTTAAAATATAATCTTAAACGTTTTTTTAAGGTCATATCGTCATAAACAGCCTTTACTAGTCCACTGCTGGACATAGGCCTCTCCTTAGAAAGCCTACTAAATGGTAGGTACCTATCTCCCGTACACGCAAGTAACATAAATATGCGGTTGATTTTTCTATCGTAGACCATATCGTAGACCTTTTAGTCATAAAAGGTCTACGATATGGTCTACGATAGTTGAGCGGAATCGAATTGAGAGCGAACTTTTATAACGAGAATTGGCCTTCTGGTTACCTGATGGTAAGTGACTACCGCCGCTCACGGTCATCGCCCGAGGGCTTTGGGTAACCTACTCGGTGAAAGCAACGAAAGAGTTGCTTAACACCGGTTTTCTGTGAGCCCGTGGTTATTACTCTGGTCGAGTCTGGTCCACATATGCTGAATCATATTATGGCTCTCCCACGGTTAACAGTAATGGGTGTTTTTGTAAAGGGTTTATAAAAAATAGTGTAATGTGAACACAATATCAGTTTGCGAAACCTAAACTAAAGATCGGAGCCCTACTCTAAATACCAGATTTAGTATAATATCACGGCGAAGTTTCCTCTTTTAGTTTAATAGTAATAGTCACACTCCCTTATAAACTGTGATCATTTATTGTAAAATACTAAATCCTTAGAAACAATGAATGTTCAGAATAGATAGTAATGAACTGCGTAATCCTGCACTATCCGCCTTAATACTATATTAAATATATATAAATATAATAACGGATATATTAAATAGCTGTTTTTACGTTTGGGAATAGTCGTAGGTATTATTAGCATTCTCGCTACAAGTTTTAGCATAGACAATTACAGTACAAGGACGTTTTAGGATTTTAAAATATGGATCAGCTCTGTTTTATGTCA